GCCCGCCCCGCCCCGCCCCGCTCTGGGCTCCGGGGCCTCCCCGGGGAGACGGGCAGGTCCGTCGRGGCGTGCGGGGGGCCTGGCCTCTCTGAGGGCATTCCTGCTCCTCCCGGGGGATAGCGGCCCCCCGCAGGGCCGTTTTGCCCCCCTCAGGCCACATCGGACCCTCCAGGGGGGCTGTCGAGTCCCTAGGGGCACAGTGGTCTCCATGAGGGGACAGCCACCTCTCTCCTTGAGACTTGGTGGCCTGTCTGCAGTCACAGCAGCCTCCCCAAGGGGACAGCCCCATCCCTGACAGCACGCCAGCCTCCTCGAGGGCACAGCGGCCTCCCCAAGGGGACAGCCCCATTGCTGAGGACACGCCAGCCTCCTCGAGGGCACAGCGGCCTCCCCAAGGGGACAGCCCCATCCCTGAGGACACGCCAGCCTCCTCGAGGGCACAGCGGCCTCCCCAAGGGGACAGCCCCATCCCCAAGGACACTCCAACCTCCCTTAGGGCACACTGGGGACATCCCCGTGGTCCCAGTGACCTCCCACGGGGACAGAGGCCTCCCCTGGGCTGCTCCTTGGGGACACCAAGGCCGAGGGGGGTCTTGCAGGTCCCCCCAAGTTGGTGGCCCCTCTCCCTTCCCGGTTGTGCCCCGGCGCTTCCCGAAGCTGTGGGGAGCCGATGACCCTAGTGCCACCTCCGAGGGGCTCGGGACGCCTGTCCCACAGCGAGGGGCTCGGCCGTGGCCACACAGGGCTTGTTTTCCTGTGCTCTCCTTGTCGGGAGCCGCCGGAGAGCAAGGGGTTTTCTCCGCGGGCGCGGGAAGAATGAGCTTTTATCCGGCCTCTTATCACACCACAATAGCAGTTTTCAGCCTCTGGCCCTTGGAGCCTGCGGGACTTGCGGAGGATCTGTGCAAGAACGCTAAGAAAAGCAGCTCTGTTGCCAGCGGGCTTCAGTTYGCTGGTGAAATGTGAACAAATCTGGGRAAAAAAAAAAAAGATTAAAAAAAAGATATCTTTGATAGATGCCCTGTTTTCCTCCCGTTTAAGAGCTAGATTGATACAGGAACTGCAAGTTAGAGCTATCAAATGTCACTCGTAGATCTTAAGTGTGTGTAGATTCAAGTTACAAATATTTGGGAACTCCAGACCAAACATGAATCTTGCTTGAAAACGTGATCGCATTTTCATGAAGAAGCAGAAAATGAGGATTGACTTGTTGATGCTTAAGGAGAAACGATGGGGAGCACCAGGGKGGGCAGTGGGCAGTGTCGAAGGGGAAGTCTTGGGGCTGACCTGGTCCTCTGCAATGGGCTGCAAAGTGGAAATCACATGGAAATGACTGAAAAAGGGGCTAATGGGAGCCAGAGCAAGAATTTGAGCTGATAGCTGGTCCTTAAAGACATTACACAGCAAACTGCCCTCGAGGAAAATCTAAGGGGCTTGAATAGCAGGCAGCCGTGAGTTGCCAGACAGGAGGAAGAGGTGAGAGAAAAGTGAGGTTTTTAGGTGGGATGGAAAGTTTTTTAGGTGGGATGAAAAGGCTGCAAAGGCCTCAAAGATTTTGGGAAGGAGAGTAGGGCCGAAGCGGAGGAGAAGCGGTCCAGACACGCACAGAGGTGCCCAGCACGTGCTGCTGTCAGCGGCCACTTGTCCGCATCACAAAAATTCCCAGGGATTTTAATCGTCACCCTGATGGTCTCCATTCACAGGGAGACCAGGTCCAAATTGCCTTGTCCTCGGAGGCTGTCCCTGAGGAAAAGCCCTTCCCTGCTTTGCTCACCCTTTGCATGGAGCTGGATTTCAGGGATCATTTCAGGGGGCRGCAGCAGCAACACAATGTCCTTACTGAGCTCTGAGCATCGGTGGCCTTTGGTTACTCACTTTAGCTAGTAAATAGACAAAAGGGCACAATAGTCTCTATAGTCACTTGTAGAAAATATTTTTAAAAATTAAATAAATGCCAATATTAAGTCACTGGAGGCTGTTTTCAAGTCAAAAAAAGGGCTTTTTAGGAATTTTTTTGAGCAATGCAGGCTAATAACATCAATAATATCCCTGTGATCAGAGGTAACAGTGATAAAAGCCTCAATGCAGTAAGAGTTTTTACTCTCCCTATCAAAGTTTACTCCATTAGCTTATAGAAAGCCTCGGTGATGACTTTCTCAACACTGTTCTTAGCCTTCAGGTTTCAAAACTGTCACTGATTACCAAAGTTTCCCAATAGTTTTAAAGGCTCCAGYAACCTTTTTTTCCTATGAACATCATTATTTCCAAGTGTAAATTACTGGAATTATACACGTGGCATGGTGAAAGTGCCTATAATAGGCCGATATAGTTGGCTTRGGACAATCCATACATTAAGTGTTGTTAATTAGGATAAGAAGAAGGAGAGGTCCACATGCTTTAATATAGATGGAAAATGAGACTGAGGAAGAGCAAATGCAGATGGAATAACTCCAGGGAAGAATATTGTCCAGCCTATGGATAGTGGCTGACAGTGGCTTTTGCACCACGACTGCTTTTGCTCTGTGTTAATAAAATCCGATGTAATGAAGGGCTCAGCTGGGCCTTTATGACATGGGGGACATGGTGGCAGGGATGGTTGAGAAATGCCACCCCTCACCCTTAATAAATCCCCCTCGAGTTCCTGTTTCATGATTCATTACRTGTTGATTTGGGGTGTTTTGCAGCATTCGCTTGCATCTGGCCTACAGGTCACTCTGTGGACACTCCTGTCGTGCTGTTTAGGGGGGATTATTTCCAATTTTGCAGCAGCAAATAAACCAAATACACTATTTAGATAGCGTATGTGTTCCATGCCCCTGCAGCCTTTGCTGGGCCCCGAAGCTACTCCCTTACTCACGGCAACAAGCGAAAACCAGGACAACTGAAAACACCATATTCCTAATATTGTGAATGTGTTCAGGCAGCTTTGGAAACCCCCCTGGTTTAGAGGGAAACGCTCAATATTGCACTGTACATCTGCCTTATTGAGGCTGCAGGCATTCACAAGCGTGGGATTACGGGATTTGCAAAGGCACCTGGCCTTGCACGACCTGCAGGCCCTTGTGCTGATGCTGGAACCAGGAATCCCTGTTCTACCTTACATGAAATCCTCCGTTACGGGCGCTGACAGCTCAAAGTGACTCCAAATTTAATCAGTTTGCCTTTGTAAACAATTACTTATGAAGCAGAACAGTAATTGGGAATAGTTTGAAGAAGTCCTTTTGATCTTTAGGRTCTACACTCTATAGGGAAAGAAAAAGCTGTGTGAGAAAAGGAAGTTATAGATGGTGAAATGTGCTTTTTTTTTTTCCCCTTTTTTTTCTTACGTTTTTCTCAGAGAGGGGATAGGAAGGTCAGCTCCTTTCAAATACATGTGAACAGAAAAAATTGGCTTTTCAGCCTTATCCGAGCTGCAGATCTTGGAGCATCAAAGGACTGTGCCTTCCTACAGCTTGGTGCACTGACTTGCTGAAAGTAAGGACGTCTGGAGGGACCTTTTTCCAGGGGTTTTCTGGAGTGCACGTTTTTCACGCTCTCCCTGCAGGTGCCTGGGAGGTGTCCAACAGAGCGGGGGGACCAGCAGGGCAAGACAGGACAGCGACTTCCCTGGGGAAAGCGTGGAGAGCAGAGGCTACTTGTGTGTGGTGGGATTTTTCCCATGATGTGCTGATCTCTGCGTCGTCCAGACATGTTAATGCCTGAAATAAAATCGCAGGTATTCATGCAACGCCAGGGCCTGGCGAGTGTTTCTGGGGGCCCCAAGTTCGTGGTAGCCAGAGAAACCTGTTCAGCTGCTTCCCCCCATTGCCTTTTTCCCTCGTCCTCCTTGGGATCCATCATCTGCTCCAGTTCACGGCAGGAAACTGTTGTTTTGCTTTAGAGAAAGCGGAATCAGACCACAATTGTACATTAAATACAGATATAATATGTTGGGATTTGAAATATTTGTTGTTAACCAGAGTAAATGACAATCATTGCTACTTCATGCTCTTTGGTCACAGTTCATGAAGCCCTCTAAGGCTGGAATCGAAATCAGGGTGTTTTTTTCTTTTTGGTAACATTTCCAAAAATATTATGAAGAGGGTTAAGTATGAAACTAAACTACAAAGGGTAATGACAGATTCCTCATCTCTTGATGACTTGAAATGAAGAGTGGATGTTTTTCTGGGAGATATATTTATACACAAATTACTAGGTTACAGCCATGGTAACTGGAWGCAATTCGGTGTTTAGATGGCCTGGAAGTTCCTTCTGCCTTTGAGCTCCGTTAAGGAGTCCACAGTTTCAGCCAGGTTTGCCCATC